TAAGTGCTTACATCGCCGATCACTACATACAGCTGTGTTCATAAAAATAGCAGTGCTCGTGACACAAATGTTTAAGATCAAATAATTGTAGTACAAAAGCCAAAATGGGACAAAATTGGTATACATACACATAATATATTTATTTTTAATTATGTTAACATTTGTTTCAGTCTAGTTACTCCATTTATTTCGAAAATATAGATAATAACAAAATAATATCGACAAAATGGGGTGTTCATAATAATAGCAGTGTTACCAAAAAAAACTAATAAATTCATCAAATCTTAAAAAAACTTAAAACAAATAACAAAAATGATAAATATAAACTAATATTTTGTCGTAAAGCCTTTATTGGCTTAAACAGCTTCACCCCTACGTGGCATGGAGTCCACCAAGTCCTGGCAACGCTTGAGGGGAATCTGGGCTCACGTCCTGTACAAATTGCCAAAGATGCGGTGTTGAAGTCGGGTATTTCTTTGCCACATATCCCTTGATGTTCCCCCATAAATTTTCAATCGGAGATAAATCCGGGGAAGGTGCTGGCTACGACATTGCATCAATGTTTGGTTGACCAACCCAACTCTTAGCCAATTTGCTGGTATGTTTTGGATCGTTATCCTGCTAGAAAGTCCATTTTAAGGACATATCTCACTGTGCATAAGAAAGCATTACTTTTTTGAGTATGTCGACATAGACGTCTTGGTCCATGATCCCATCGATCATATGTATGGGACCACGCCGCTGTACGAAAAACAAGCCCATATCAATATTTTAGGGCCACCGTGCATTACGGTCTTAAAAGTGTGGTTTGGGTGGTTCTCAGTGTTTGGGGGTCTTCGGACGTACTGTCTGGAGCCTGTCCCACCAAACGAGACCAGTTTGGACTCATATATCCAAAGAATATTGCGCCATTTCGTCACTGGCCAGCTCAAATGGCTTTTGGCAAACGCCAATCGAGCTTGGATATGCCTTTTACCAAGTAATGGCACCTTTTGGGGGCTTCACTCATTTAAATTTTCATTTACTAATCGACGGCGAATGGTGACGTCGCTGATCTACAACTTTAGCTCCTTTTTTACATCTCTAGAAGATTCAAAAGGATTCGCTTTGCTGAAGCGCGCTTTCATTCGGCCCTCAATATCGGTGGTTTTTCGTTTGCGCCCACGTGTTTCGGCCTTCCCCTCATAATTAATGGCATTGGATACCATTTTTGCAGAACAATTTACCAAATCTTGGATTTTATATGGGGTTTTCCCAGCTTCCTTAGCTGAACTATGACATTCCTCTCTTCCTTTGAACAGTGGCGTCCTTTACCCACTAAAAACCGAATTTTTACATGGTTATTGTGTATTTTCATTTAAATTATATTAACAAACTTAAGCAAACTCACTTTTCGTCAAATTTTTAATGTTTTTGGCACTTTTTGTGGATAAAAATGAAAAACTGCTATTTTTATGAACAGCCAAAAACATGTGATTTTGAACAAAAATGCCCAGAAAACCAAAATAAATAGTAAATCTAACGAAATTTTTGTACTTTTCCTATCTCTATATTCCATTTAACAAAAATAATGACCAAGCGATCAACTAACTAAAAGGAAAATGCAAAAATTAACGTTCTTTTACTTCGTTGCTACTGCACTGCTATTATTATGAACACAGCTACATATATTGTACATATGTACATATATTATTTTGAGAAAAGCTTTTTTAGCAACAGCTCTTAAACTACGCTACCAAATCTATATTTTCCTATTGAGAAAACCTGTTCCAACCCTATTTCTTCACTTTCTGAGAAAATTTTTCTCAGTGGAACAATTTTTTTCAATATTGGATGAGTCAATATGCGATCAATTGAGAGAGCTTCTAAGAAAATATAAGAGTGCTCACACTGCAATTCTCCAAATTTCAATGTCCTACGTTAGGTATTTCTCATAGCTCCAATACAAATGTTAAAAAAAACCATATTTAACAATACATACATATATGTAAATGTTCACATATTTTTTTTTAATTTTTAAGTGTTTTGTTTTTTAATTTACATTTTAACTAATGAGTTTGATTTCTATATATTATTCGCTACTATTATTCGGAATCTGAAGATTCAGAATCATTATTTAAATGTGGGAAATTTATTAAAAGACCAGCAACAACTTTATCAAATTTAATAGATTTAACCGAATTTTTGACATTTTAGACAATGATGTTATTAGTGGATCAGAAGACACGAGTAATGCGTGTTTCTTGTTTTGAAACTCTTGTTTAAGAGTAGACACTTGATTGATCTGCGCCTTAGATCACTAATCACCAAAATATTTTTAGGCCTACAAATATCTGATGTTGACGTGAAATTATATAAAATGAGCGCCATAGCACTAACCATACAGCTGTATGGTTAGTGGCCATATCAAGCCATTTCTGAATTATTTCTCAAAAAATTTTGTGTTGTAATGGCAATTCAAAATTAGCCAATTTTATTTTATTAATTTCTTTAATATTGTTGTCAGATAAGTTTATGTTCTTCCAAATTGTGCCAAATACATATTCATTTAGCACCAACAATTGCCTTGATGCGACATTTTCGCCAAGCCACATGCAAAACAGAACGCGCTTGGGGATTGACATTTCACATAAAAAGTGCAATAATCTTAAGAGTTGGACGTAGTTGGTTATCATTTTGGACATTTTCACATCATAAGAACCCATACTTTACATAAATACTAAAATTAGCTTAAATATGATTGAATAACGTTAGTTATAGTCCAATGAAGTTAGTAAACTATCAAAGTTAAATCTTGCAAAAGCGACTTACAAATTACACATTTTTTAGATGTACATGGAAAGACAGGTCACGAACATAAAATTTATATTTAGTACATACCTTATTTTAAGGGAAACAAGAGTTATTTATATCAATATACTCAAATATATCACTTGTTTTGATCATTTAAAACGAATCACAAATAACCTCAAATCTTTCTGTAGACACGTGCCGCAAATAAGTTAAGTTTCAAAGCTCGCAGCCGATCAGAGATGCTCTTAAAAACTAATATAAAAGATTTTCTCAACTTTTCAAAGTGTTATTAATCAAATAAAATCAAAACTTTACGTATTTTTCAAAAGTTAAAAATCGACTTTTATACCGCTAGATTTCTCATTGGATCCACTGTGAGCCGGTGTGAATTAGTTCCGGAATTTCCAAATTCACCGAACAGTCCGCCGCTGTCGTAATATTTGTTTTTTTTCTTCCCCAATTAGTTGTGTTGTGTTTTTTTGGTGCTGGTTTCTTTTCCTTGGGGTACATACAGGGTGCCGACGGCATAACGGGCTGCGTAACAACCACCTTCAAAAAAGGGAATAAATTAATTTTAAATTTATATTTATAATTACAACCACCACAATTTATTTAATTATTACTTCTGTTCGAGGCCAGATTTGTTTTAAGTCACCGTTCCTGCCACTCAACAATTAAAATTATTTAAAAACAAGAAAGGAAAGCTAACTTCGGGCGGAGCCGAAGTTTATATACCCTTGCAGTTAAAACCGGATATATATCGCAAACATCGGATATAGTTGGCCGATCCTTATGGGAATAGGAATATATACTCCAATTTATTACAATACAAAATCTAAAAAAAGTCCCAAGCTTCTATCTTCAAAAATACGAAAGTTGATATTTCTACCAAATACCATTTCCGATCGTTCAGTTATATGGCAGCTATAGGATATAGTCGGCCGATCCTAATGAAATTTGGTAGGTTGGATCAACTGACCAAAAATAGAGTCTGTACTCAATTCCAGCTTTCTATCTTCAAAAACACGAAAGTTGGGTCATTTCCGATCGTTCAGTTATATGACAGCTATAGGATATAGTCGGCCGATCCTTATGAAATTTGGCATGTCGTATTATTTTGCCAAAAATAGCTCTCACCTAAAATTTGAACTCTCTAACTCTAAAAATACCAAAGTTATACCATTTCCGATCAATCAGTTATATGGCAGCTATAGGATATAGTCGGCCGATCCGGGCCGTTCCGACTTATATACTGCGTGCAAAGGAAAGAAGGGTGTGTGCAAAGTTTCAAGACGATAGCTTTAAAACTGAGAGACTAGTTTGCGTAGAAACAGACAGACGGACAGACAGACAGACGGACAGACGGACAGACGGACATGCTCATATCAACTCAGGAGGTGATCCTGATCAAGAATATATATACTTTATAGGGTCGGAGATGTCTCCTTCACTGCGTTGCACACTTTTGGACAAAATTATAATACCCTCTGCAAGAGTATAAAAATTAATAATCGAAAATTATTAATAATTTAATTATCAACCTTCTGTCCGAATAGAGCCGCGGTTTCAATTCCACCTTTCCGGCTTCGGGATAATTAAATCCAATTAATTCAAGATTAAGGTTTCAAATCCACCCTTCCATAATAATTAAATCCGACAATTACTGTTATGTATGCGACTGGATTCTCTCGTGCGGCGATCTCGTTCGACTGAAGTCAGTCTTCACTCAATCGTGAGCCACTGCAGATCGAGCTGCAGTCACGGCCATCCATCATTTCCCCGTCATTATAATAACCCCCAGTACTAATTGTTACTTCCATTTTCATTACTGAATTATATTGAATAAATTTAATATATGCTTGCGCATACATAAAATTGGCGACGAGGATGGGATTCTAATCCCCGAGCGTAAGCTAATTAAATTTAACAATTATCGTAAAGGGAGAAAGAGAGACGGAATTGACGGTGACGAGTATTTACCGTACGTCCAATTGCGGTAGTCGTATTATTCTTGAAGCAAGCACATGGATAAGCGCCGAGCTTTCGGTCAAGCTGAGAAAAGCTCCGGCGAAGAGGTAAAACAAGAAATAAGTGATAATCAATCAACTCCACGAGGGAGTCTCACTGAGAGCGGCTGTACAGTTGAGCCAAATACTACGGCCAGTACGGATAAGCGGAAAGCGGTTTTCCAAACTTGCGGAGTCGCCATGGCGGGAGTTGGAACTCTGGAACCTTTCGACTTGCTAACCCCTGGGAAATGGAAGGCGTATCGAGATCGTTTCGAGCTGTACCTTTTAGCGAATGGCATCGTGGACAAGGACCGGAAGAAGGCGGCGTTTCTTACACTAGCGGGCGCACCCCTTTATGAGTTACTAGTGTCGTTAGCATCACCCAGGCAAGTCAGTGATTTGGAATTAACAGAAGTCTATGATATATTAACCAGTCACTTGGCACCACGCCAATCGGAGATTGCTGCATTCTACCATTTCCACAAGCGTGATCAGCAACCCGACGAGTCCGTCGGTAACTACATGGCCACATTAAGAAGCCTGGCGGTAGGGTGCAATTTCGGGCAGATGCTGGATCGCATGTTGCGGGACCGATTTGTGTGTGGCATGCGCGACGAAGGTCTTCAGCGAAGCCTGCTAGCCGACCCCGAATTGACGGTGCAGCGGGCCATGGAACGAGCCGTCACTAGTGAAGCAGCCGCTGCGAGTGCGTTGTCGATTCGAGGCGACAATATCCGACGCCTCGAGTCTTCGAGCACCGAGTCCATCCACGGAATAAGTTCGAGTTGTGCGGGTTGTGGGGGTCGGACGTCCGTAAGAAGTGCCCGTTCCGCAACGCCACTTGTCATTCCTGTGGTCGAACTGGCCACATACGTCGGGTATGCCGCAGTAACAGTCAAGCTGGGTCAACAAAATCGTCATCTCCTACGCCCAGTAATATCCGTAACAACAGGCCATCGCACGGACGCGTTCATCAAATAGTTCCGGTGGTCAGCCCCAAGAAATCTGTGGCCGTGGTCATCAACGGTCGATCATGCCAGTTCGAAGTGGATTCCGGGTCGCCCGTCACCATCATGAAGGAGTCTTCGTATCGATACATCTGGCCAAATGGTAATCCCGATCTCGTCAAGTGCCACCTAAAGCTAAGCGACTATCAACGTAACCCCATTCCGGTCAAGGGAATCACCGACACGTCAATCCACTACAACAATCGCCGTATCTGCAATCTGCCATTGGTCGTCACGTCCGGCACCGGGACAAACCTTCTAGGATGCAACTGGTTTGAACCCCTCGGAATCCGCATAGAAGGCATTCATGGCGTGCAGTGCGGCAATGGTATCGCGGAAATTCTAAGAAAATTCGACCATTTGTTTTCATCAGAACTTGGCCGGTATACGGGGCCGCCAGTGGCCCTCAAAGTGGACCAGGAAGTTCCGCCGGTCAGACTACCACCGCGTCGAATTCCTTACGCACTCCTCAAGCCATATGAAGAAGAATTGGACCGTCTCTGTGCCCAAGGAATACTTGAACCTGTAGAGTACTCTGAGTGGGCCACTCCGACTGTCCCCATAGTCAAGAAAGATGGTTCCATTCGAATTTGTGGAGATTATAAGTCTACGCTTAACAGAGCGATACAACCGCACTGCCATCAAATTCCTGCAATCAACACGCTATTAGCTTCGATAGAAGGAGGCTCAATTTTCGCAAAAATAGATTTGGCCCAAGCGTATCAACAATTGGTAGTAGACGAGAAATCAGCTTTGATGCAAACAATCGCTACTCACAAAGGAGCATTTAAGGTTACAAGACTACAATTCGGAATTTCAGCTGCCCCAGGAATATTCCAAAGCTGCATTGAAAGAATACTGCAAAATATACCGGGCGTCCTTCCGTATTTTGACGATATTGTAATTATGGGTAAATCAGAAGAAGAACTTGCGAGTAGATTAGGCGAAGTTCTAGCCCGTATGGACCAGGCAGGATTACGTCTGCGCAAGGACAAATGTCAGTTTGGGGTATCTTCCATCGAATTTCTTGGATTCAAAGTTGACGCTCTCGGCATTAGGCCATCAGCCGACAAAGTTAGAGCCATCCATGAGGCGCCACCACCAAAAGAGAGAAAACAGTTGCAAGCGTTTCTGGGACTGACCAATTTTTATCACTCATTTTTGCCCCAGAAAGCCACCATTGCGGAGCCATTACATAGACTTCTAGACAAGAACGTACAATGGACATGGCGTCCAGAGCACCAAAAAGCATTCGCAGAACTAAAGAATCTGATCGCATCGGATGCGGTCCTAATTCATTACTCTCCGGACCGCCCACTGATCTTAACTTGCGATGCGTCACCATACGGGTTAGGAGCAGTGCTTAGCCACGAAATGGAAGACGGAACACAGAAACCGATTGCGTTTTACTCTCGCACGCTGTCAAAGGCAGAGAGGAACTACTCCCAGATCGACAGAGAAGCGGTTGCCTTGGTCGCAGGTGTCAAAAAATTCCATAACTATTTATATGGAAGAAAGTTCACGCTTATTACAGATCATCGCCCACTGCTTGGAATTTTTGCGACAGAAAAGCCAATCCCTCAAATCATTTCCAACCCGATGATGCGTCGAGCAATATTTTTGAGAGCGTATAAATTCAAGTTGATTCATCAGCCTGGAACAAAAATAAGTAATGCAGATTTCCTAAGCCGCTGCCCAACGTCGGATATACACTATGAGCCTAGAACGGAAGAAGTTTTCATGATCGAATGGGCAACTGATCCCACTGTCACCGCGAACACCCTAGCTACCAACACGTCTAAGGATTGCAGCCTCAGAAAGGTGCTCAACTGGGTGTTAAGGGGATGGAGTAGTGCTAAAGTTCAGCGTAATGATGACCTGTACCCTTTCTTCGTTCGGCGAAACGAACTGACCAGTAATCAAGGAATATTATTTTGGGGTAATCGAGCAGTTATTCCCTTGACGGACAGGCAGGAAATTCTCTCTGCGCTGCACGCGCACCATCCCGGAATCGTTAGAATGAAGGCTTTAGCCCGCAGTTACGTCTGGTGGCCCGGTTTGGATGCAGATATCGAGAAGGCGGTGAGTCAATGTTTAGCGTGCCAACATACGAGAAATTCCCCCCCACGATCGGACGTACATCACTGGGAGTCTGCCAAGAAACCATGGTCCCGCCTGCACATTGATTTTGCCGGACCTTTCCGAGGGAACACGTTTGTGTTAGTCGTCGACTCTTTTACGAAGTGGCTTGAAGTTTGCCTCGTAAAATCGACATCCGCGTCAGCTGCCATCACCTTCCTTCGGCAACTGTTCGCCACCCATGGCATTCCGGATGAAATCGTGTCCGACAACGGAACTGCTTTCACCTCCGAGGAGTTTATGTTGTTTACAAAAAACAATCGGATCCGTCATATCCGATCCGCGCCGTTCCACCCTGCAACCAACGGACAGGCTGAACGAATGGTTCAAACCACGAAGAGTTACCTGAAGAAACTAGATCGTCAAACAGATGTCAACTTAGCGTTGGCTCGTTTCTTGTTTGACCAGCATACTACGCCCCATTCCGTTACGAAGCATTCGCCAGCGGAGTTACTACTCAATAGGGAGCTCCAGACATTCTTTGACAAATTAAGTCCAGGCGAAAGATCATATGGTAAGATCTGCGATGCCCAAACTAATAAGTCTTTTGTTACAGGCAGCCCTGTTTGGGTCCGAAACTATGCAAGCGGTCCCAAGTGGCTTGAGGGCCACGTCTCGAAGCGAACGGGACCGATTTCCTATTCGGTGTGTCTCGAGGACGACCGAACAGTCAGGCGACATCTGGATCAGCTGCGATTGCGCAGTCCTTCGCAGCAGCCAACACCAGAGCAGACAGCAGCACCAACTTTCTGTTCCACTCCAACCCCAACTGACGCAGTAGCTGGCGGATCCTCAACTCCAGCTGGGCCACAGCGCTTGCCTGAGCAAGACGGGACTGAAGGACCGCCACGCAGATCGGCCCGTGACCGTCGTCGGCCCCAGTTCTACGATCCGTCTGGGTGTTAAGGGGTGTTATGTATGCGACTGGATTCTCTCGTGCGGCGATCTCGTTCGACTGAAGTCAGTCTTCACTCAATCGTGAGCCACTGCAGATCGAGCTGCAGTCACGGCCATCCATCATTTCCCCGTCATTATAATAACCCCCAGTACTAATTGTTACTTCCATTTTCATTACTGAATTATATTGAATAAATTTAATATATGCTTGCGCATACATAAAATAAATTAATATTGATTATTTTTTTTTTTTTTGTGTTAAATACAAGCCAAGGTCAAGTCCACTTTTCCGACTCCGCCAGTTCGAAAAGAGTTAAGGATTCAATATCTACGTAGGAACCACACTTGTATACATATACATATATAAATATATAGTTCGTCATCAATTTGTTATTCGAACGAGCACGAATTTTTCGGTACTTTTCCATTTTCCGTGCCTCCAACCTCCTACTCCGCATCAGGCAACATCCGCCTACAATCTGACCAATCCTCGTCTCCTTTTGGGTTTTTTCTGGTTCCTGAAGTTTTTCTTTCCACATTCGAATTGTGCCAGTCAGTCGACAAGCGCTGACCAGCGAATTGGACTCTGAGAATGCCCACGGGAGACGACAAAAAGCCGCGTTCGATCCCAGCCATCCGTTTGGACAGATCTCAATCCGCATCTCCGCGGACGCCACTTTTGAAGCCTAAGGCTACCAGTGCCAGTCCAAGGGCAAAGAGTGACGAATCCATCAATACAATCCCCGGTCCTTCACAGAGGCAGACTTGTTCCGTTGCAAAAATGGCTCCAAGTGCGGTCGAAGTGGGGTTGAAAAAGTTCATCGCCACAACAGATCGAATTAGCCAATTTGAAGCTAACATAAATACTCCGGGCGCCCCAGAAACGGAAATAGACTCCCAATACATGTGCGAAGTCCATCGGGACCAAATTCGGGCACTATGGGAGAAGGTGGAGAAGAGCTATGAGAGCTGCTCCGATTTACTAGCCGTGTCCGACGACAATGCGGCCGCCTCGACAGTGGTGGAAACGAAGTACAGCTACTGTTACTCCGTCTTTTCGAGGTGTATTGCCCAGCTTCGGGAGAAAATTGCTTCCCAATTCACTCAGGTTTCCGTCAATGTCCACACGCCCGCGTCTACAGGCTGCCGGTTACCTCCAGTGGATACCGAGGTCTTTGCGGGTGATTATCTTCGGTGGCCCACCTTCAGAGACTTGTTTACGGCCATTTACATCGAAAACTCGCGGCTCACCCCGGTAGAGAAGTTGTTCCACTTACTACCCAAAACAATTGGTGACGCCCACGCCATTGTTTCTAAGGCTCCGCTTACCCATGAGGGGTTTGTCGGCGCATGGCAAAGCCTCACAGACCGCTTTGAGAACCGGCGGCTATTGGTCAACAGCCAGTTGAAGATCCTTTTCAACATCCAGGCTATTTCTCAAGAATCCGGGGTAGCGCTGAAGGAGCAGCAAGCCAACATTCAGAGTTGTCTGACTGCCCTAGAAATGTCCCCCATTAATGTTGAGGCTTGGGACTGTCTCCTGGTATTTATGATTTCGTCAAAGCTCCCCAAAGTCACACTTTCTATGTGGTAGCAATCCGTATATAATAAGGCCGAGATTCCAACATGGAAGGAATTAGATAACTTCCTGACAGATTGCCATCGCACTCTGGAGGCCATCGACGACGTCAGGCCTAGTGGATCCGTGCAATTTCCGCCATGGTCGGGACATCCTACTGCCCCTGCTCGGAGGCTCACTTCACACGAGACTCGAGTGGTTCCGGGCCAAAAGGGCTGCGATCTCTGTTCGAGGGAGGACCACCCCATTCGCTTATGTCCGCGTTTCCTATAAATGGATGTAAATGGGCGCTCTGACTACATAAGGAGGAAGCAGTTATGCTTAAACTGTTTTGCCCGAGGGCACCAGCAGCGAGACTGCACGAGCGCCCATACCTGCTTCACATGCCACAGCCGACACAACACCCTCCTGCACCGCGGCAATCCGTTCGCCACCGCTTCAAGTCCGCCTACGCCAGCAAACGGGGCAGAGGATCAGTCTAATGTGCAGGTGTGTTTCGCTTCCGGGTCAGGAGCCGTCCTACTCGGCACGGCCCTTATTACCGTGTGCCGTTTGGGGTGCACCGTCCAGGCACGAGCACTGATAGACTCAGGGTCCGAAGCGACTTTCGTAACGGAACGACTGTTCAACCTTGTCAAGTTTCCCTTCAAGACAATTCACGCACAAGTTTCCGGCCTTAATCAGACCATTTCCGCGCAGTCTACTAAATTGTGCCATTTCTCCATTCGGTCGCCGTCTAGAACCGGGCTACAATTAGAGACTGCGGCTTACGTTGTTCCGCAGTTGGCAGGAAATCTGCCATCATATCCGATTTCGCGAGATCGTCTCAAGGGGCTGCCCGACGTTGCCCTGGCGGACCCCAACTTCTTTGAGAGCTCCCAAGTCGATGTGTTAATAGGAGCTGACATTCTTCCGTCCATTCTCCTCGGTAATTCCAAGGCTAACATCTGCGGGTCGCTTCTCGGTCAGGAGACCATTTTTGGATGGGTGCTGACAGGCCCATTATCTCCAGCCAACCCCCGCAGCGTGTCTGTTTTTTCCATACGAGTTGCTCGCAGCCTCAGTGACTCATTGGATTCCAAGATCATATTCAGCACGATGTCGCCACGCCCACGCAACGCCCAGTCACTGGAGAGCAGATGTACTCGAGGTATACAATCCTACCGATGCCGAGTTTGCAATGGGATCCATCCATTGAAGAAGTGTCGGCGCTTCCTACGCCTTAGTGCCGAGAAGCGGCTCCGAGCGGTTCTCGTGAACAAGTATTGCTCGAGCTGCCTGGCCCACGAGCACTCCGACGGATACTGTCGGCGTGGGGACGGCTGTAAGACGTGTGGTCAGGATCACCACACGCTGCTGCACCCCGTGACCGAGGAGCACCTGTCACGGAGCGCGGGAGACAGTACACGGGGTGTCTCACTTTCTCGTCGGCCGTCGTTCGCCAACTCCCGGCGCGGTTCGGGTACTTCTCGGCCCTCGTCCGCCAGTTTCCGGCACTCACAAGCCGATCCACGGCCATCGACTTCCCGGCGCTCGTCGGCAACTCCTCGGCATTCTTCCGCCACTGGCCGGCATTCGTCAAACGCTCCACGGCTTTGGTCCGCCACTCATCGGGTGCCACCCACCGCTCGTCCGCCCGCCTCATCCGCGCCTAGGCAATTTTCTGCCTCTCCTCCAGGACCCTCGCAGGACGCGGTCGCTGCGCCCACCCTATCGTCGCTGCTGAACCGGAACAGCGTCAACACCGGGACCCGGATCTTCGACACGGGGGCCTTCATCGACCCGTGTACGCCCTCGAGCTGCAGTGACGCATAGCTAGCGACGAGGAAACTGTTGCAACCCAAGTGATTGCAAGGGGGGCGGGATGTTTATGCGAGGGGCCGCTGAACTTAAGAGCTCATCCGCGCTGAAGAGCTCATCCGCACTAAAGAGTGCATCCGCGCTCGCCCCTCTATGCACTCTCGCGCTCTCGTTGGCCGTCATCGATCGACCGTTCTTTTCTAAGATAAGTTAAATCCTCTGTAAGCAGCCCAATAAAGCTGACCGCGTTATTTTCTGAATTCACCAAAAGACGCCCCCGACTTCTTACTTCAACATTTCTGGGATCTTTTGCGGTAGCGACGCCCCCCTACACATAATGTAAAATGTAGAAATAAAATTTCTAGTATTTAGAAAAGTTAATTTTTTTTTTTTTTTTTGTAAATTAAGTTACTTCCCAGCTCGGTAGAGGGGGAAGAATTCCTTGGCCATCCCGTGAAGACGGGTAAACGCCAACGCCTATGTGTGAAATTAAAAAATTTCAAGATACTTGTTATGACAATGTGAACAAATTATTTATATTAATATGACTTGAGGCTTGATGATGTGGATGGGAAATAAACGATAATGAAGATAGATGCGATAGTCAACTATTTAAAGTGACCGTGTTAATACATGCACATGCTGGTTGTTAATAGTTATCCATAGTTAGTAGGATTGACATAAAGAAGTTAAAAGGCGCATTATAAATCTATATTAGCCAGTTTAATGAAATTAGTTATTGAGCTGTAATTTTCAACTGATTCTTGAGAAAAAATCGATAAATGTTATCGTATTTTAGAAGGAGCGGGAAGTTCCTACGAATATTATCGTATTTGGAACAATTTAAAATTATGTGTGAAATATCCTCTATAGTATTGAAATTGCAATCGCAATTGGGACTGTCATGGACTTTTAGTTTGTATAGGGTATATTTATCAAAAGAATGACCGCTGAGGATTCTATTAATTTGTTTGATCTGCAATCTATTAAGATTGCAGTTTTCCGATTGGAACCATGGTTTGGGTAAGGTATATGGATATAGAAGACAGTATCCTTTATTCCTTTCTATGCAAAAAGAATTATAGTCGCGCTCCCAATCAGTTTTAATTCTGTTGAAGATGTGAGTGATAGCATCATTGATCGTGTATCTGATATTTAGATAAGATCCCAAGGTATTGGCGTTTTTGCAGCAGAGTCAGCAACTTCATTTCCTTTAATATTCAAATGGCTCGGAATATGATGTAGTTGAATAACCAATATATTGTTGTCAATTTTTCTGAGTATTTCAGCCACAATGCGATTAGAAGAATTCCGCTTTTGAAGGGCTTGAATAGCACCCAAACTATCCGTTAGGATAGCTACCCTTGTAATATGTTGGTCAATTGCAAATTCAATGGCTTTCTCTAAGGCTGTAAGCTCTGCAGTAAGTGAAGAGAACTTCTTATTCATATAAAAGCTTTTAGTTGTGTTACTATTGACATGATAAAAGGAACACCCAGTGAAATTATCTCTAATAGAGCCATCCGTGTAAATTATTTCGAAATTTTGGCTAGTTAATAAACTATGTTTTTCTATAAAAAGAATGTCCACCACGTCAGGGCTGCTAGATTTCTTGTTATGGCAAGAACCC